CACTGGTGTCACCAGGACGCCTTGGGGGCCATAGCAATTGTGGCATCAAACCATCTGAATTGGCATCACCTCAGCCTTGCTCTGGGGAAGGAACAAATACTACTGAATTCACGGCAGTGGTATCGCCTGTGAGGGGTGTGGTCATTGCCAGTCAGCCCTGCCCACCTTGGCTCTGCCCTCTTCTAGGCAAGTGGCTGGAAAGTGGCCTCTGCAAGCACAGGCAGGCCCATATCTCCCAATCCCTGCTGGAGCCGTTCTCCCTGGGATCAGTCTGCAGACCTTCCTCCCTTGCAGCCACATGGGGCCAAATGACTCTGCAGAGAGGGAGATGCCTCTTCCGCAGGTGATGGGTCACAGGAAGGAAAGAGGTGACCTTGGTGGGGGACAGCGTGAGCCAGCAAGGCGTCAGTGGGCTGTGGTGGCCGAATGCAGCACACAGAGGCTCTGGCCCTTGGCCTTGCCCTCAGCAAGTTCTCATTTTAAACTTTTCGGATAGGCTGGGCATGGTGGCTCATGCCTATAATCCCAGCACTTTGGGAGGCTGAGGTGGGCGGATCACCTGAGGTCAGAAGTTCGAGACCAGCCTGACCAATACGGTGAAACCCTGTCTCTATTAAAAATACAAAAATTAACTAGGCATGGTGGCACATAATCCCGGCTACTTGGGAGGCTGAGGCAGGAGAAGCGCTTGAACCTGGGAGGCAGAGGTTGCAGTGAGCCAAGATCGCACCATTGCACTCCAGCCTGGGGGACAAGAGCGAGATTTTATCCCAAAAAAAAAAAAAAACCAACTCTCTGAATAGACAAATAATCCTCTTCCTCTCATCTTTTGCCAGTGGAGGTGGTGAAACGTTCTCACCTCTGTTTAATCAGATAAGACTTCTAGAGGAAGCAGCATCAGAAGGGCCCACGTTAGAGAGAAGATGCTGTGCTCTGCCCATGTGAACCTATCAAGGGCATTGAACTTGGATCCTAACGCACATGGCAGACACAGAGCAACATCATGTAGTCATAAGGCCTGGAGGAGGTGGGGCAAGGAGCTGCTTCTTACCTCTGAGCCTGATCACTAGGTACCTCCATGTGTACAGGCTTTCAGAGGCCATCCTTTCCATTCCCCTGCCTCTATCCCACTCCTAAACCACCCCGTGGGCTTCCCCTAACCCTAATGCTTTTTTGCAAAGCAAAAAAAATAACTGTTGCTACCTGGTTTTCTCATCCAGAGGCCTGTGGACCTTTACTGTATGGAAGTTCTTTGTTATATCTAACCTAAACTCCTCCTGCTATAAGGTACAGACAGTTGGATAAGGTCTAGAGACAGAAACACAGGCAAAAATAACCTCTGGAGGTCACTGGGATGCACCATCAGTTCTAGAAGCAAGAAGAAGTTGTCCTAGCCTCCCTTTCAGATTAGCACGAAGGAAGCAGCTCTGCTGTGCCAGCTCGGGGGAGCTCAGCTCAACAGAAATCCCAACCCTGGGAGGACTCTGGGCTCCTTCTCCTTTTAAGGCAACGTCTGAGCGCTCAGGGCTACACAGACTGCAACAAGCCCCAGCCCCTCTCATTCCTGGCTATTTGGAGGAAACTGATGATTAATCAGCCCTTTCCCTCCCACCTCCAGCCTGTTTTTCATTAGGTTCTTTTTAAAGTGTTGGCACACCTCCTCAAGAACAGACACTTGGCAGATCCTAGCCAACTAGGACCCCAGTGGAGGGGAGGTCCCTAGGAGGGAGTGAGGAGTAGTCCTGGATTAGAAGAAAGGGGAGAAGTCAGGATGTGGGGTGTCAGGGAAGAAAGAAGTTTACATTGAGTCCTGGCTGGGGGCGAGAGGGAAGGTCTGAATGGGAGTCCTAGCTCTGAAGGGGGCTGTGTGAAAAGAGGAGGCTGGTGAGTGAGGCTCTGTGGGCAGCTGGGCACTCCGGCACCCCAGGGATGCTGGGTGGGCAGAAAGGAGCTGCTTTGGCCCCTGATGGGGAGGGTCAGAGACGGTCACATTGACTTGGTGGCTGTTGGTGAGACAGTCAGGTCTGAAACCCAGCTTTTCCTGAACTTGCTAGGTGAAGTTAGTTAAGTCATCATCTCTCTGGATCCCCACTTTCTCTCTGAGTGAAGCCCACAAGCAGCATGGGTCTGGAAAGGGAAGCTATGCAGTGCACAGTGGGCTCTAAGAACTCCCGAAGGGTGCACATTTTGGGAAGGGAAGAAAGAGGGGAGGGCAGGAGTCTTTGCCCTGGGGGCCCAATCTCTAGACCTTGGGCCCAGAGACACTGGTCCCTCCAGCTCTCACCTCCAGGCTCCCAAAGTGGACAGAATCTGTGATGGAACTGCTCTCAACTTGATGGGATCGGAGGTAGGAGAGGGAATTCCCTGGTCAAACTATGGGCAGATGATTCTAAGAACTTCCTAAAAGGGCTGATCCACTGGGTTTCCTTGTTTCCATTCTATTCACATACTGCTCTCCTTTTGTCCCTTTCAAATCAAGGTTCAGTAAAGTCACCATCACTTCTGCTCTGGGGTCAAACCCAGCTCCCTGGGGGCCTGAGTGGGTGTGAGGGGGAGCGCTCTGCCCCTTGCTCCATCACCACAGCCCCAGCGAAGCCTCCAGTGCAGCTGGACCTTGGGGCCTACAGGGCAGGAGGCTAGAACGGATACATTCCAAGGCCCTGTCTCACTAGGCCCTGTGCCCCTTGGCTGTCTATTGCGATTCTAGCAGAGGAGCCAAGGACTATTGCTGCTAAAAAAAAAAACCCAGGGATTGGTCCCCAATGGCATGTGTTTGTGGTGCAGGTACAAACGGTTTCCATAGGACTCCTTTTTCTTTCCATTCCCACTGGGAAGAGTGGAGGGTGTGAAGAAACGCTACGTGGGCCAGAGAACATGATAGAGAGCTGTTTTCCTTTCTTCCCTCCCCTATCCCCAACCCCAACCTGGCATCCCTGAAAGAAAACACTTTGGCCCAGCACGGTGTCTCATGCCTGTAATTCCAGCACTTTGGGAAGCCGAGGCAGGCAGATCACGAGGTCAGGAGTTTGAGACCAGCCTGGCCAAGGTGGTGAGATCCCATCTCTAATAAAAATGCAAAAATTAGCCAGGTGTGGTGGTACACACCTGTAATCCCAGCTACACAGGAGGCTGAGGCACAAGAATTGCTTGAACCTGGGAGGTGGAGGTTGCAGTGAGCCGAGATCGCACCAGTGCACTCCAGCCTGGGAAACAAGAGCAAAACTCTGTCTCAAAAAAGCAAACAAAACAAAAAAAACCTTTTAAATATTCAAACTGTAGTCTCTTCCGCTTGAAGAACCTTTCGGGGAGGACATAACAGCATCCCTTTAAGTCCCAGTTGCTCTGGGGTCTCCATCACAGTTGGACAGTTAAGTCTGACGTCTACTCTCAGGCAATCCTGCTGCTTCCTCTGCTTTTCTGATGAACATGAGAAACAAGTGCTCTCAAAACAGGGCTCAGGCGTGGTGCAGCTTATGGAAGAAGAAACAGGGATCCATGGAGCGTGGGTGGCTTATCTTGTGTATAAGACCCAAGCCCCATCGCAGCTCAGCTGACTCGGTCCCATGGCCTCTCTCACAAACTTCGCAGTGTCTCGGGAGTCAGAATTGAGTCACAGAATCCAAGATCCAGAATCTGGCAGAGTCCTCCAGAGACCAGCTGACCCAATGAATTCCAGGGCTCTCCACAGAGAGGTGCTTTGTCCTTAGCTAAGTTTTTACTAAAAATAAGGATGACACTGTGAATTAAAAAAAATACATATTTGATGTTAAGGTATATTCTTTATTATGCCTACCTTCTTTAAAATTAGCTCCTTCTTATTTTGATGAGATGATGATGGTAAATAGAATTTTAAAATATAGGACAGGCATGGTGGCTCACACCTGTAATCTCAGCACTTTGGGAGGCTGAGGTGGGAGGACTCCTTCAGGCTAGGAGTTTGAGTCCAGCCTGGGCAACATAATGAGACACCCATCTTAAAAAAAAAAAAAAAATTACAAGTATCTTTAATTGGCAAAATAAAATGTTAGTATATGTTGATCCCTCCAACATTTTTTTCCTTTGGAAATGCATTGGCTTATAAAAGTCCTTGTATCTCAGAACTACTGGCCTGCTTCTTAAAAGCAGGGCCAGGACTGAAGTGAGGGATGTGAGGCAGTCACCTCGGGCACAGAACACAGCAGAAGCCAAAAAACTCAGTGAGTAAGACAGCTGATGTTCTCATGTGTGTGTGTGTGTATATATATATATACATATATAATTTTTTTTTTTTTTTGAGACAGAGTTTCACTCTTGTTGCCCAGGCTGAAGTGCAATGGCAAAATCTCAGCTCACCATAACCTCCGCCTCCCAGGTTCAAGTGATTCTCCCGCCTCAGCCTCCCAAGTAACTGGGGTTATAGCATGTGCCACCACGCCTGGCTAATTTTGTATTTTTAGTAGAGACAGGGTTTCTCCAGGTTGGTCAGGCTGGTCTCAAACTCCCGACCTCAGGTGATCTGCTCGCCTTGGCCTCCCAAAGTGCTGGGATTGCAGGTGTGAGCCACTGTGCCCAGCCTTCACGTATATTTTTAAAATTAAATTAATGCAAAAAGTCCACAACGAACAGCAATGCAGAATTTTAAAGACGCGATCAGTGTTACTATTTCTCCTTTTGCCTCAGGTTCCAATGTGCTTGGCAGGTTACTGCTTGGAGGCAGTCCTTCTACATCACCCGTGACAGGAAAGGGCAATTCCATAAAACGAACTGCCACGACCTTTGCAGGTGTTTGCTTATGTCACAACCCTTAGGCCTTGAGTCTGAGGTCATCCCATTCTGAAGCCTGAACCTGAGTCCCTCTTTTGCTGCCCTCAATGGAGACTTCCACCCCACTCTCCCAAACACCAGCTGTCCTTCAGAGGCTCAAGGGCAGTTATGTAAGCGCTCCCCCACTCATCCCCATACTCATTCCGCTCTCTGTGTAGCCATCTCTTCATGTTTATTTTTCTTTTCTGAATTCTTAGGAAAGCAAGCAAGTGGAGACCAAGACAGATGCCAAGAACGGAGAGGAAAGGGGCAGAGATGCCAGCAAAAAATCCCTGGGCCCCAGACGGGACTCAGATCTGGGGAAGGAGCCAAAGAGGGGTGGTTTAAAGAAGAGCTTCTCTAGAGACAGAGATGAAGCTGATGGCAAGAGGGGTGAGAAGCCCAAGGAGGAGAAGAGCATCCGGGGCATTGACAAGGGCCGGGTCCGGGCTGCAGTGGATAAGAAGGAGGCAGGGAAGGAAGGGAAAGGAGAGGAGAGGACAGTGGCCACCAAGAAGGAAGAGGAGAAGAAAGGGGGTGACAGGAGCACAGGCCTGAGCAGGGACAAGGATAAAAAGAGAGAGGAGATGAAGGAGGTGGTCAAGAGAGAGGAGGATGAGAAGGTAAAAGGGGAGCACAGGAACACAGACATGAAAAAGGAGGACGAGAAGGTCAAAAGAGGAGCCAGGAACACAGACACCAAAAAGGAAGATGAAAAAGCCAAGAAGGATGAACCCTTGCGTGAAAAGGAAGCCAAGGAAGACAGCAAGACCAAAACAGCCGAGAAACAGACGCCCGGCGGCCCCACCAGGCCCTCTGAAGGACCGGCCAAGGCGGAGGAGGAGGCAGCTCCCAGCATATTTGATGAGCCTCTGGAGAGAGTGAAGAACAACGACCCTGAGATGACTGAGGTGAACGTCAACAACTCAGACTGCATCACAAACGAGATCTTGGTCCGCTTCACCGAGGCTCTGGAGTTCAACACTGTGGTCAAGGTGTTTGCCCTGGCCAACACGCGCGCGGACGACCACGTGGCCTTTGCCATCGCCATCATGCTCAAGGCCAACAAGACCATCACCAGCCTCAACCTGGACTCCAACCACATCACAGGCAAAGGCATCCTGGCCATCTTCCGGGCCCTCCTCCAGAACAACACGCTGACCGAGCTCCGCTTCCACAACCAGCGACACATCTGTGGAGGCAAGACGGAGATGGAGATCGCCAAGCTGCTGAAGGAGAATACGACACTGCTCAAGCTGGGCTACCATTTTGAGCTGGCTGGGCCCCGAATGACCGTCACCAATCTGCTCAGCCGCAACATGGACAAGCAGAGACAAAAGCGGCTGCAGGAGCAAAGGCAGGCACAGGAAGCCAAGGGAGAGAAGAAGGATCTGCTGGAGGTACCCAAGGCAGGGGCTCTGGCCAAGGGCTCCCCAAAACCTTCACCTCAACCATCTCCAAAGCCCTCTCCAAAGAACTCACCCAAAAAAGGGGGTGCTCCAGCTGCCCCGCCTCCCCCTCCCCCGCCCTTGGCTCCACCCCTCATCATGGAGAACCTGAAGAACTCACTCTCACCCGCTACTCAGAGGAAGATGGGAGACAAAGTCCTCCCCGCCCAGGAGAAGAACTCCCGTGACCAGCTATTGGCCGCTATCCGCTCCAGCAACCTCAAGCAGCTCAAGAAGTTAAGTAGTTACAGACATGAGCCACCAGGGCAAGGCTGGGTAGGGCCCAGAGGAGAGGGCAGGACTGCAAAAGGGAATGTGTGCAGAGGAGCTCATGTCGGCTGCAGACAGCAGAAACCCTCAGGGCCCATAGCGGACTGCAGGTCATCTCATGCATCCTCCTGCTTACAGGCAGGCCACACCTGTACGTCCCCTATTACCCCTCCCTTTATTTTATTTTATTTTTTTTTTGAGACGGAGTTTCACTCATGTTACCCAGGCTGGAGTGCAATGGCGCGATCTCGGCTCACTGCAACCTCTACCTCCTGAGTTCAGGCAATTCTCCTGCCTCAGCCTCCTGAGTAGCTGGGATTACAGGCATGCACCACCATGCCCAGCTAATGTTTTGTATTTTTAGTAGAGATGGGGTTTCACCATGTTGACCAGGATGGTCTTGATCTCTTGACCTCGTGATCCACCCGCCTCAGCCTCCCAAAGTGCTGGGATTACAGGCTTGAGCCACCGTGCCCGGCCCCTCCCTTTTTTTTTTTTTGGAGATGGAGGCTTGCTCTGTTGTCCAGGCTGGAGTGCAATGGCATAGTCTCTCTTCACTGCAATCTCCGTCTCCCAGGTTGAAGTGATTCTCCTGCCTCAGCCTCCCAAGTAGCTTGGATTACAGGCACCTGCCACCGTGCCCAGCTAATTTTTGTATTTTCAGTAGGGACGGGGTTTTACCACATTGGCCAGGCTGGCCTCGAACTCCTGATCTCATGATCCGCCCGCCTCAGCTTCCCAAAGTACTGGGATTATAGGCATGAGCCACCGGGCCTGGCTGACTCTACTCTTCCTTTAAGGAGCTTCCTTTAGCCCCTCACTCCATGCTTCTCTTTCATCCTGTCGTTAAACCTGTATCTCCTTGAAATGGAGAAATGGCCTCTACAGAGTAGTTTTGCCTCGGGTCCTTCCTTTAAGTCTTCTCTTCTCCATTCCCCCAGACAAAAATTCTCCATGTTTTACTTAGCCTCCTCTCAGGACCAGCCGAGTCCTACAGGTCAGTCCATCCAAAAGGTCTCTGGGAGATTCACCTCTCAGGAGAGTCTACCTTTGCCTAGCCAGTGCTATGGACACAGGAGCCATCCCTGGACACCCCACTTCTCAAAGCCCTGCCTCCCCTGGAAGTCTGGCCTGGGTGACAGAGTCCATGACCATTTGTCCATTTGACTGGATACCTGACCCCCACAACATCGTCTGGGACAAGACATCATGAGATAAAGGACAACCTCAATTGTAATTCCAGTGGTCACTCGATGATATCCAATTTTTACAGACAAGGAAAAATGCTCCCTTAGTGTCAACACCTCATTCACATTCCACAGGCATAACATATTGCAGTGTCTGGTGTGTCCTTCCAGTCGGGAGGGAGGTGAGGTGGCTGAGCTCCCTTCTCTAACCTGGCTCTTCTTTGCCCCTACAGGTGGAAGTGCCCAAACTGCTTCAGTAGGACCAGGCTGCCAGGCACCATCTGCCAATGCCATGACTGCTCAGGCCTCACCTCCCAGGGCTACACAGACCCTGCCCACCCCGTCCCTGGCTGACCTGCTGTGGATGTCCCTATTCTGCCATGGGAGAGTCGAGGCCTAGGTCACGCTCAAGGAAGGATGCCTTATCTCTTCTCACTTTCCTTTTCTTGTCTCTGAGGCTCTCCAAATTTTTCTTTTGTACCTGGAGCTCAGGTTTCCAGACAAGAAGAGTCTTTTTAGCACATCGCTGAGAAGATGGCACTGTCCAGGGCCCATGTAGCTGGCAAGCTGCAAAAGACCTGTGATCCAGGAAAGATGTCCCGCAGGGACCACATCCACCCCAGCCCCACTGCCCTCCAGGGCCAGGATTCGGGCCTCTGAGGAGCCCACGGGGCAAAGCTGCTGGGCCAGTGGCACTCTGTGTGGGACAATGGCAGAAAGATGGAGAGGCATGGGGGCCCAAAGGGGAGTGTGGGGAGGGGCTGAGGATACCCCAAAGCCCAGGCCATTCCGAGGACATGGCAGGGGCAGTGGCCTGAATGAACAGTGCCTGGTGGGTAGGCTCGAGACAGGAGGAGTGGGACAGACAGCAGCTGGACTTGAAGGTTTCATGCCAAAGCAGACACTTTCCTCACACCTACCTGCTGTTGTATAAATAGCTGTGTATCTGTTTTTCCATAAGATTTTGATAATATATACAAACCTTTAGCTGTGAATGGCTATGCCCCACCTGCTGTCCTGAACTGTGAGTCCTGGTCCTAACCCTGGGCTCCCTGGAGCTCAGGTCCCCTGCCACACTATTTGAGTTGGCCGTGAAATAAATTCACATCCTCAGAAAGTGCAGCATGGAGGAGAATCTGAACTCTCAGCAGAAGATTCTCCACTGACCTGGTTGTCCAGGGCTAGAAGGCCAGGCCTCTACCTGCTCCTGAACCAGTCCTGCTGCCTGGAGTCAGTAGCCAGAGCTGTTCTCGGGGGTGCTGGGGCAGAGTGGAGCCCAGGGCACCGGGAAGGCCATATTAGGCATGTTCAGGGATGCTCATTCCGTGACTCTGCCTAACCACAGGCTCAGGGCCAGGTCCTCACAGCAGTCACAGGCCCAGGAAGGCAGCAGGCAGAGAAGTGGAGTGACTGTTGGCAGAGTAGCTCCCACACTTGTGTGCCTTAAGGCTCAGAGGGGCCTCCTCTTCCCCAGCCCTCCCGCCTACTCACCAATTCCACTTCCTGCCCCACCTGCAGGAACGCTGATGATGCCGCCCTGACCATCGTCGGGTGTACATGAAAGGCATGTTTCTGAATTGCATTCTCTCGAAGATGCTGGCACCCCTTGGCACTGTGGAACTACCACCTTGGGTCTGTGTCACTTGTAGGTTTTTCTATCTCCAGGTTGCCTCAACAGCAGGAGGCACAGCAGTTTCGCCATCTTTGAGGTGAGGGTGGGGTGCCCCAGCTAAGAAGCAAGATCGCTGTGCTAGGTCTGACCAAAACCAGAGGGCAGTCTAGTCCTGGGGTAAAGCCCTCAGATCCTGGGGCACACTCTTCCCCATTCCCTCCATCCACTTGCCTGCCACTCCAGTCACCTGAGCAATCACTGGGCCCAGAGGAAAGGATTCAGACACACACTGGCTCCTGGACCTAAAGGATATGAGCTGAGCTAAGGCCGGCTAGAGCTTCCACTGTCAGCCCCAACTGTCAGCCCTACTGCACCCCCTGTGCCTGCTGGGCGCTGGGCACTAGCTAGATGCTTAAGGTTGCTTCAGCTGATCCTTCAACTCTGTGAGGTGGATACCAATAGTCTCTCTATTTTGCAGATAAAGTTTGGCCCAGAGAGGTTAACTAATATATCCATGATCACACAGCTAATAAAAGGCAGAGCTCAGGTCTTTTTCGTTTGTTGTTTTTGTTTTGAGCCCAGGTCTTCAGGTCATAGAACTCCTTCTGATAACAGCTCCCCTTCCTTCCCTCACTGAAATAAGGCTGTTAACAGTGCTGCGGGAAAGCACTGGACGTTCACCTGAACCCAAACAACCTGCCTCCAAATCTTAAGGCTCCAATAGAACCTTTCGCCTTAGGAAGCCCTTTCTACCAAGCTTCAAACACAATTTAGCCAGAGAGAAAAACCATTCCCTACTGTCCCGGCAACAAGTGCGCTGCCCTCTTCCTGCATGCTCCTGCAGGATGCTGTTTCCACCCTGGATGAGGAATGGCATCATTTCTCTGGTGCACTTGAACTTGATGCGGGAGCGCAGCGCCACCTGGGGGTGGACCGCAACCCAGATTCTCCAGCTGCGCCAGGAGCGCGCTGGAGCTGTGCTAGGGACAGGGGACGGAGGCGGTTCTGGGGAGGAGGAGGAGAAGATGGGTGGATAGTCTGTTGAACTGTGGAAAAGGGGCCCAAACTCCGGGGGCTGCATTTCTGCTGGGACACACACCCACTGCTGCCCATCTGCCCCACCAGCACTGGCAGTCACCCATCTGTCCAGCCTCCTTTCCTAAAACGTAAGGAGGAAAAGCCAGAAAGGCTCTATCCTTGTCTGATGTCCATACTGTACAGGGACAAAAAAAAGAGGTCTGAAGACAGAAAATGACTTGTCCAAGTTGACGAATCAGGATTTGAACCCAAGTCTCCTACCTTTGGGTTCATCTACCAACCTGGGAGAAGCCACGGTCTGACCTCCACAGTCTCTGCCTGCAGCCCCCACTGTCATATCCTCCACTCTGCCCCCTCACCCTCCATCACTTCCTGGGGGATCACATTCCCTAGCTCTTACCCCCAGGGAGGGAGGCTTCACCCCCCAGCTCTCCTGGCTTGCAGGGCCCAGCTGTTACACCCCAAGCTTCTTGCCTCTTGACCCTATCTAGATGGGAAAAGTGTCTTTCCCTCCAACTTCCCTAGGCTGCTCCAAGAGACATCAGCACTGGGACCTAGGCCACGGTGCTGGCTGTGGGTGGGATGGCAGGCACCAGCAGCTGTCAAGGTGCTGGCCTCACCTGTCCTCACAGAAGCTCCACCTGCAGGTGAGCAAGGGGCTCTAGGCCTGGGCTCTGTGTCACACATGTGGCACTCTAAGAAACATGAGATTTGGATGCAGGTCACCCATGAGCTTCTAGACCACCCAGTCAGGAGTGCCATGTGCTGCCCCCTACTCTGCAACCTGCATGGCAGGCTGGGGCCCCTGACCTCTGACGTTGGCCTGACTAGGGCCTGTGTGGCTACGGTGCTGGGCCAGGCTGCTGGCCTAAGAGTGGCCCGGAGAGTGTGGGCCCCCTCAGTACGCCTCCCCCAGCACCTCCCACTCATCCTGCCTATGGCCCTCTTCTCCCTCCCTCCCTCCCTCCTCCAGCCCTCTAGGGCCCTTCCCTTACTTGCCCCTCCCTCCGTTACTCCTTGCCTGAAGTGTCCACTCTCCCTCATGCCTCACTTCTGTTCACCTCTTGGCCCCTCTTCTCCCCTCCCCCAGGGTGTCTCTTTTCCTGCCAACATTTCCCCCCTGCCCATTGTATTTCCTGCCCTAGCTCCCTCCCTGCACCTGACCCGTCCCATTCCCCTGTGAGATCTGCTTCCCCTGGAGCAGGCCCAGCCTGGTGAGATTTCTGCCCTAAGAATGCATTCCTCTTGATTTTATCTAAAAACGCCCCTCTTATCCACGTATGCCTTCCAGACCGCCCCTTGGAGAATTCACCATTTCCTCCCAGCATAGCAGGACCCTATTGACACTACTGAGGTCCCCCAATCCTTGAGGGACACTGCCCCTCCCACCCTCACTCCTGCCTGCCCTTAGAGGGTGCCTGACTGGCTTTCGGGGGTGCTAATTGAGGAACAAGGCAATCCGGAGGGGCAACTATAGCTTTGTGCTCCGCTGGCCCTGCTGGGCTCCCCTTGTTTCCCAGACGATGAGTCAGATGAGGTGAGGTCAGAGGGCACTGCCGTGCTTCGCGGAGAGATGAAGGGGTTGTTGCCTCCATTTAAAGAACTCCAGGATACATGAGAGCCATCTTCACTGCTCAGAGCATGTGAAAGTCCCACTCTGTCACAGTTTCGCTCCTTTTCTTAGACTTCTCTTCAGTGTTCTGCAGAGTTAATTGACTAGAAATGAGGCAACTCCACTCTTCCAGTCTCAGCTATGGCTGGGGTAAACCTGCCTCCTACCCCAGACTACAGAGCATTTCTTCACTGGCACCAGCTTGTTGATTCAAGGATAATTAATTCTGACTGGCATCACCTTACTTATATTTACATGTCGTTTCTTGGAGAAACTAAAAAACCTTCATGTGTAGATCTCTTCCAGCAGAGAGGAGCCTGGGCTCCAAACCTCGGATGACCTGGAGACACTCTGTCCTAAATTGTGACCCAGGCACTCCAGGGCTCCAGCTCCCACCTCTTGTCCCCACCCTCACAGACAAAATGGATTTGTATCTGCGGCCTCAGCCCTGTCTCTTCCAGCATCAGCAGCCTCTCCCTGCCTGGGTCTGAACCAGGGGCAGACATGTGGGCCCCATGAAAATTTCACTGGGAAGGGGGAAGCTGTGAGTCTAGGGGTAGAGCTCCATCCAGGGGAATTTCTGACCCTGGCCCCAAAACCCTGGCTCAGGAGCTCTTGCCTTCCAGGCATGTGACAAGAGGTAATCCTCAAGATTATGTGGGTGGCAGAAGGCCCTGCAGGCATGGTCAGCACAATGGCCATATCCAGAACCCAGCTGGGCTGCAGGAGCTCAGAGGTCTGAGGGGGCAGGGCAGGAGAGCAGAGCCTGAGGCTGCAGTGGGGCTGGAGTACCCACGGATGGGGAGAAAAGGAGGGCTGGGCTTAGGGGATACTTGGATAAGGAGCTTGGGGAGGGGATGGAGCTCTTCATTGGTGGGGCTTTGCCAAGCTGAGTTGACACTTTTCCCACTTGAATTAAAAATGATAAAACTGTCTTTCCTGGATCTGTCACCAGACAAGTCCTGAGAGCACAAGGACCATGACCCCAGGGAGCAGGGAAAGGGAAGACAGCCAGTCAGCTCCCAGGATGGGGCATTTCTAGGCAGTATTTGTGAAAGGAGGGGGAGAAAAGGTCATATCTCCCACTGTGTGGCTCAGTGGGGGTCACAGACATGCACCTGGGAACTGGCGATCCAAGCAACTGACAGGAGCACCCGGCACCAGTTTCTTCGGTCACCCAGCATCTCCACCTGCCTCCTAGTCCTAGGTTCTCTAATCAGGAAGGAAAGGACAGGACTAACAGTTTCATGTACATAATATTTCATCCTCATGACAGCCATGAGGTATTATCCCCATTCTGTTTATTTATTTACTTACAGACGGATTCTGGCTCTTGGTGCCCAGGCTGGAGTGCAGTGGTACAATCTCGCTCACTGCAACCTCCGTCTCCTGGGTTCAAGCGATTTTCCTGTCTCAGCCTCCCAAGTAGCTGTGATTACAGGCGCCTGCCACCATGCCTGGCTAATTTTTTTTATACATTAGTGGAGACAGGGTTTCACCATGTTGGCCAGGCTGGTCTCGAACTCCTGACCTCAGATGATCCGCCTGCCTTGGCCTCCCAAAATGCTGAGATTACAGGCGTGAGCTTCCGTGCCCAGGCTATCCCCATTCAATAGATGAGGACACTGAGGCTTGGAGACCTTTGGCGACATGACCAAGGTCAGAAAGTGGTGGGGCCCAAAATGAATCTAAGGGTACCTGATTGGGAGAACTGCGTTTGTACAGTTAGCAGTGCCTTAGCAGTAGTAGAACTGTTGATCCCCAGCAGGGAATCTCTGTAATGCAGAGGAGCCTCTCTTCAGAGCTGTGGTAAAATTCACCTCATTGGCTTTAGGAAGCAGTCCAGGAACCATCCAGCTGGCCTGGCCTCGTTCTGCCTGCGGATGCGGTGAGGATGGTGCTGTGCTCCGGTGCTGGTGCTAGCCCTCCCCTACTTTTGGAATATGGAGTGGGCAGCAGTTTGGACCCAGCTGAAGGCAGTGCTCCTAGAAGGTGTGGATGGATCCAATGATGCAACTGATATGAGTTATGTCTTTACAGCTTTAATCCAGCAGGCCAGAGTCCTGGCCAGGGGGGCAGCCAGAGAGGATGGCTTCTGCCAGCTGCTGAGGGAACCTCCTCCCTGCCCCCATGCCGGCACAGAAGGGACAAACTGTGGGGCCCCAGCCTTCCTGGCTGGGATCTTGGGAGCAGAAGGACTATTTGAAGACAGGCACTGTGACCCAGGCTGCCATCTCCCTCCCTTGCCCCCAGTAAAAATAGCCCACGATCCCAAGCCCTCCCCCACAACTTGTCACAGTTCTAGTTCAGCTCCTGTTCCACTTCCCTGGGGCTCTGTCCCCAGTAGGGCCCAGGGCTTAGCTTGGTCTGGAGCCTGGTGACTAGAGGATTCCTGCCCACACCCAGGGCCAGATGCAGGTACAGGATGAGGGCATCTCCCAAGGTTGGCATCACTCAAGGGGCAGCAGAGACATGGCTGATTCCTCAGGCTCCTGGGTGAGAGGGCTGTGGTGGCATATAGGGAGGAGGAGCTGAAAGGCAAAGGATGAGGGTGAGGGGTGGCATAGGTGGAGGAAAAGTAACCCCTACCCCTGGGGGTAGACAGGACCCATAGGGAACAGTGGGCCTGGAGGCGTCTGGCTAGAGGTGGAGAAAGTCTGGGAGGGGGAATCTGAGAATGAGAGAGGCACAAGGGAGGGCCCAGGGCAAGGGGTCGGGGAAGGCAGCAGCAAGGGGCTCCAGCTTGCTTACTTACCTGCAGGGTTGTAGACCGGGGGCCCAGCTGGGTAGAGTGGATACTGGGGAGCAGGACCACTAGGTGGGTACATGAAGCCAGGCTGTGGGGGTGCAGGGCCAGCTTTGGGGTCCTGGGGGTAGGGGTATACTGGCTGCACTG